TATACCTTTAATTACATTTTTATACACATGTTACATCTTCATTTGTAAATATATATTAATTACGTTTTTGGTGTTACTTAGCATTTCAATATTTTATTTTATTACACACCTTTTTGGTGTTACTTACCATTCTTGTATTTTTTTAAACCTAATTTATAAATATAAATTACGTTTTTGGTGTTTTTTAGTGTTACTTACCATTTCAACATTTTAATTTATTACACTCTTGTTTGGTTTTACTTACCATTTCAAAATTAATTTTATTACACACATAATAAAATAAGGAAATCATTTTATTTATTTTATCGGTACTTACAGTGTATTTATTATTCATTATTACCAAAACCGTGTATAAGGAAATCATTTTATTTAAAATATGTATGAAGTTAAAATATGGTATGATTTTAATTAATTTTTTTATAACACGATATTATAAATTTAATGTACCTTTAATTACATTCTTATACAAACATTACATCTTAATTTGTAAATATTAATTACGTTTTTTGTGTTACTTACCATTTCAACATTTTATTTTATTATACACCTTTTTTGGTGGTACTTACCATTTTTGTATTTTTAATAACATCTTAAATTATTAATATAAATTACGATTTTGGTGTTTCTTACCATTTCAACATTGTAATTTATTACACACCTTTTTGGTGTTACTTACCATTTCAACATTTTATTTTATAACACATGTTACATCTTAATATGTTCCACGTGTGTTTAATTTATTACACACAGTTCCATGTTAAATCAAAAAAATTAATTACCTTTTAGTGACAAACTAACATTAAGTACCTACCTATTCAAGTTGAGTAATTAACATTTGTGAATGAAGACCATTTAGGCAGGAAAATAAAATGAGAGTTTCCCCTCTTTTTATATAAAGTATAAATGATTCTTAAATTTTGTATTTCTCATTTGAGGGAAATATAATATGGAGTAGTGGATTACGGAACAACAATTCAGAGTATTGTTCCAAAAAAAAATTCCAATACAAAAAAGTTGTAGCAAGTTATAAAAATAATTAGTTCAATTTTGGAGAAAAATATGTTGTGCCATTTTCACAACTTCTCAATTTGGGCGGGGCGGCGGGGGGGGGGGGGGGGGG